ATATTTTGTATTTTCCCAAAGAACAAGAGGCATTTACATAGAGGAACAAAAAAGGATATTTTGAGAGAACATGATTGAATTAGTTTTTCAGTTTTCTCTCTTAAAACCAAGACTTTTAAAAAAAGCGTTTCTGAGACCTTTTACTTATATTGTTGGGAAAATAGGTGGAATGTTGAAAAATGGGGTACAGTATAGAATGCTTCTTACTTTATTTCTGTGGGGGGTGTTCTAGGCTGATACAGGAAAAAATCTAATCACATTACCTAATACAACAGCAACAGCAATTCTGCACAGTGATGATACCATATGGCTGGATCCAGAAGTTATTTTTTCAGGACCACGACAAGGTAAGGCTAAGCTCAGTAAAAAGCAAAAAAGACCATCCTAGCAAATACAAGAAACTAATTAAATGTGTTTGTTTTGCTTTATAGCTTTTGAATTTCCACAAATAAACTATGCAAAATATTCTGGGAAACCTTATACATATGCATATGGTCTTGGACTGAATAATTTTGTTCCAGACAGAGTAAGTATTACATAATAATAGACTATACTTGTTGCAAAAAGGCAAAGAAAAGTCCAAGTCCAAACTACTTTATGTGGCTCATAGGAATATACAAGATAGGTGCATCATTTTGAACTTCTTTTGCTGTTCAGGTTATTACTACATTTACTTTTAAGTCTATTTCCAATTTAACAGAAAAAAATATCATTGTTGAAACGAGGGAATGCTCCATTTTGTTTTCTGGGACAAATCTGACTTGTATTTGAACAAAATACAAAATGTATTCTTTTTAAGCACTAAAATAATATATATTTTGTTATGCTGTTCTACAAAAGATTAATTATGTAAGGCTGAATTTCTACTTTCAATATAGGGTGATAAAATTGAAGTGACAGCTCCCTATCTCTTGATTATATTGTTGTGGTTTCATCCTATACCTCATTTTATTCCATTTATAAGTTTTCAAGTCCATTGTGGCTCAGAGTCACATACAATATACAAAAGTTAAATTTTAAAATTTGCAATAAAACAATACTTTGTTTTACTTACAAAAATATTGTCCAAAGAAATTGACCATCATTTCAGATCAGACAACCCACAAAGGACTAGCTGTTCTCTCTAGCCCAAAGTCTGGGGAAAAAGCCAGTCTGAGGGACTCATCTAAATATAGTTGGGGTGAGATCCATAAGAATATTGGGGGAAAGCTATTGCAGTAGGCAGACACTGCAATACAAAAGATGACATTACTTCATTGAGGGGACTGAGAACTCGTCAATTCTGCCAGACTATATAAGGCACAGGTGTCAAGCTCACAGCATCACATTGCTGTCATGTGGCGTTTCGTGACATTTTTCCCATTCACAGAGCTGAGGTCGGCGTGGCCTGCATGTGATGCATCTGGCCTGTGGCCCACCAGTTTGACACCCATAATATAGTGTGAGCAGCAATTATGGACCATAGGTGGCCCCTCAAATAACCAAGTGCTATGCCATGAAGGGTTTTATAGATGACATCACCATGAATTGCACCTGGAAGCCTGCTAGTAAACAGTGCAAACCCTATGTTGCCTGACATAATTAAACAGTCATACCAAGAACCTGAAATAATTATATGGGCATGCCAGAGCCTGAGGTATCACATGGGCCTACTAAGGCATCATCATCTGTTACTTGCAGATGATCTTCAAGGGCAGCCCCAGGTATAGTGCATTGCAATAATCCAAACATAAGATAACTAATGCACAAACTATTGTCTTAAGAGCTTGTAAGTCCAGCTATGGGCACAACTGGTACTTCAATTGAATCTGTGCAAATGCCAACATGGCCCCGGCTGCCATCTCTTCAAGCAGGAATTGTGAGTCCAAAAGATCCCTAGGTGAAGCTCCAGCCTCAGCGGGCATAGTTAGTACAATCCCATTCAGAACTAAAGATGAGCTATCTCTAGATCAGGGTGTTCCAAATAAAATCTTAACCAAAAGAGTTTCATTTTAATCTTCACTTTTTAAAATGCAGTTCATTTAAATTCACTATAGCAGCAAGACACAACAAAATGCAGAGCAGACCAAAGCTTAAACAACCAACCTTAGCAGGATTATCAATACAAATGTGAAGTACAATGTAGTCTCAAGTTACATCCTTTCATTGAATGATCATTTGAAGTTACAAAGGCACTGAAAAAAGTGACTTATGACCATTTTTGACATGACCATTGCAACATCCCTGTGGTCACGTGATGAAAATTCGGACAACTGGCATATATTTATGAGTTGCAGTCTTCGGAGGTCACCTTTTATGACCTTCTGACAAGCAAAGTCAATGGGGAAGCCAGATTCACTTAACAACCATGTTACTAGCTTAATAGTTGCAGTGAATCACTTAACAACTGTGGCAAGGACATAAAATGGGGCAAAAATCACTTAACAACTATCTTGTTTAGCAACAATTTTGTGGCTCAATTGTGGTTGTAACTTGAGGGCTATCTAAATGTGCACTGACAGAATGAAACAACTTGCAGCGACCATGGCTATCTCGCTGTAGATGGCCAACTCGCTGTGGCTAATTCACTGCAGCCATCTTGCCATGGCCAACTTGCCACAAGAAAACTCACCCCAGGACATTCCACATGGGGTAACTCCATGCAATAAATATTATCTGTCACTATTTCTTTAACATTATCTCCATTGACAAAAATGGAATTGATGTGCAAAACATTCAAAATTGCCATTTTAAGACTGGAAGGATTAGAAACCAGATGATTTTGCACATCTTAGTAATGTATTAAGTGCTTTACCAGCCTTTTTAGAAAAATGCATTTTTTTAAAATGAAAACCTTTTTTTTTTCAGCTTTGCAAATTGAATGTTAAAACTAAAGAGACTTGGGTATGGCAAGAACCAGATACATATCCCTCTGAACCAATCTTTGTTCCTCACCCAGAAGCTATAGAAGAGGATGATGGTAATGTTATGACATTTTGATTAAAGTTTAGAAAAAGGCTTTATCCAAATTTGGCTCTATACATATGAAAAGGACTTAATAAATATACTTAATTTATACCCACTAAATATTCCCTTGGGGGAATAATGCAAAAATTAGTATGTTTCTGAATTACTGTATTTTTAAATATTATCTGTACTAAAGTTTTTATGCTTTTTGTTTAAGTAATTTGCATTTATTTTAATACAGGTATTATCCTGAGCATAGTCATCAGCCCTGGCTGTGGACCAAAGCCTGCCTACCTCTTGATCCTGAGTGCAAAGAATCTGAGTGAGGTTGCCAGGGCACAAGTGGACATAAATATCCCAGTTACTTTCCATGGACTCTTCAAAAAAGCATGATATCTGTCTTGAATATATCTCAATCTTTCTTTTTAATACAATGTGCAGAACAACATAAAGCATTCTTCTAATTATCTGCCAGTGATTTGCAAAATTAGTTTAACATTAACGATTTCCTGTGCTGAGGCCCAATTTTAATATTTTAATACTTAAGAAAATATTCATTTTTAAGAATGCTTTCCTAACTGTAATGTACCACAAATAAGGATAATTAAATGTTGTTAGTACTGTACATTCTGATGAACAGCATCAGCATTATAATCTCAGTAAACTTTAGATAAACATAAACAATTTAAAATTGTTAAAATTGTTTGGTAATAGAACCTGGGTGAAACACAACAAATGCTGTATTTTTCGGAGTACAAGACATACCTTTTTCTCTCAAAAAAAGGGCTGAAAATCTGGGTGCGTCATATACACTGAATACAGTATTTTTTTGCCTCCCGAAACCACGCCTCATTCACCAAAATGTCCGTGCATAGCTTTTAGAAGGCTTTCAGAGAGCTCCTGGGGGCTGGGAGGGCAGAAATGAGCAAAAGAGAGGAGCACTCTATAAGCCTCCTAATGGTTGTCCATGCCCTTTTTTTTGACAAAAAAAACAAACACGTTTTTGGGAGGTTTGCAGAGTGCAAAAACTTTTTTAAAAAAATGCTTTAAAACCTTGGTGCATCTTATACTCCTGTGTGTCTTATACTCCTGTGTGTCTTATACTCTGAAAAATACGGTAACCTTGAACTGTGGCACATTAAGTAGTGAATAATTATAAATAAATATCTAGCAAATTATTAGTTTGGAAACAACATTAGATTTCTGCTTGTAGTTTTAATATTTGAACATACACATTTTTAAAAATTAAAATGAAGTATTTCATCTTTGTCACTTATCAGAGAAAATGATATTTTGAATTTGATCTCTCTGATACCTTAAACATCTTTATTTTACAAATGATGATTTGTCTAATAAAAAATATGTAAAATGTGAATTTTTTAAAAAAATATTCATAGCTTCTCATCTTCAACTGTACAATGGGTAATCCTCGACAGTTCATTTAATGATAGTTCAAAGTTACAACAGCATTGAAAAAAGTGACATAACCATTTTTCACACTTATAACCATTGTAGCATCCCCATCGTTACATGATCAAAACTCAGATGCTTGGCAATTGACTCAAATTTATGATGGTTGCAGTCTCCTGTGGTCATGTGATCACCTTCTGTGACTTTCCGACAATCAAAGTCAATGGGGAAGCCATATTCATTTACAACCTTTTTCTAACTTGATAACTGCAGTGATTTACTTAATAACCATATTAAAAGTCATAAAATGGGGCAAAATTCACTAAACAAATGTTTCATTTAGTAACAGATATGTTGGGCTGTATTGTGGTCATAGGTTGAGGGCTACCTGTATTTATATCTTCAGATGTGAACACCTATATATTCACAGTATGTTCTGTATAAACTCTGGGGAGAGAAAACCTGTATAGCTAGAAAAACGGTTTTGATATAGAAGGTGGTGCAGTGGTTAAAGTGTACTACTGCAGGCTACTTCTGCTGATCACCAGATGCCAGCAGTTTGGCAGTTTGAATCTCACCAGGCTCAAGGTCGACTCAGCCTTCCATCCTTCCGAGGTCAATAAAATGAGGACCCAGATTGTTGGGAATAATATGCTGACTCTGTAAACCGCTTAGAGAGGGCTGTAAAGCACTGTGAAGTGGTATATGTCTAAATGCTATATGTTGGTGAAAAGATATGAGAAGATCCCTTAAAAAGTATATTCCTTACTTCTGGCACATATATACATTTTGAACTTCTGGATTAATCTCTTATAAGGATTGAGGTGCTGGTTGCTAGTCTTTGGCATTTTTGAAGTGTTTTCCAAAGTTGAAAAATTTAGTGTCAATTGCTTTAAATTTTTGAGACTTTAAAAATAATTTCCTGATTATATAAATTCTACATAATAGTATTCTAACATTGGAGTTACATTGGGAAGTAAAAAGTACATTTTGGAAGAAAGTCAGTAGCTTTTCTTTTATATTGTTGCCAAGATCATAGATGGATGTGTCATAGTGGGTAGAGGAGTCAAGGTTGACTTGAGAGTGTCTGTACTTTTACCTATATCATATAGATAAGAAAAACACATGATTAAATGGCAACATAAATATTTTTTACATCTAGGTACTTTTTATATGGTGATGCCATAATGGTATTTTACTGACAACTTTAATATATTATTATTTGGAATCAGTCCAATCTGATACACAAACTCAGTTATTTATATGCCAACTTACTTGCTTACATTCTCATGATAGGAAAAGAAGATTGTTGCATGGACACTATCCGGTATCTTTGTTGCTTCATAATTCTTAAACATAGTCCAATAACCTGTCAAAAGATAAAAATTAGTATCAGTGATAATAAGTTGAATTCAGATCAGGAGAGAAAAAGTAGGATAATATACACATTTCCATGTGCATTATCAAAGCTACGTGCCAGTGAGAAAGAATGGATATCTCAGGAAAGAAACAATATAGGACATGTTGAAATTAGTGAAAAAATGCTGCATTTTATTCACAGATTAACATATATATTTAATACATATTAATATGAAAAGATCATATACATTTCTCTGTGGTCAATACCAGTAGCACAAACATTAGAAATATGAAATCGGATGCATGATCATTATTTGGAAGATAACATAAGTACGGTATACATTTGCTATTATTTATAGAGGAAAACACATTTTTTCAATTTTTTAATAGGAACCAAATCAATATTAAATTTTAACAGAGAATTTTAGGATCATATGAAGTTAAGATAATCCTATAATTCTGTATTACAGAATATACTATTAATGTCTTAAAGAACCTTTTCCCAAAATTCAGATATTTGGAACAACTTTTGGTTTGTACAAATAGAACAGTCCTAGACAATTTTTGTCTAGGGTTTTCACATTACTGATTACTACATTCTCTGAAACACTAATGTTTCTCACCATGACACCAACATGAGCCATATTTTTTCACAGAAAAATATATCTTCTGATATTCCATTATAAAAATGTACTTCATTAAATGTAGTTTTAAAACAGAAGAAAAGTCATGATGGATACACTACTGCCATAATGTTCTTTCCTTAAAGGATAACCCATCACTACCTGGATCCAATAATGGCTTATCTTTTCAAAAATCTTGACCAACTAGAAGGGACATAGATCTAAAACCTAGTTGGCTGTGCTTACAGCTGCGGGGACATTGTATACCTCTTCAGTCTATATAACCAAGTCCATATAACTAACTTCCGAGCCCAGGTACCATTGATATTGTTACTTTGACTCCAACTAAAAATGAAACCAAGTAACTTTAACTAATAGATGCTTTAAATAACCTATGCATAGCGGGATTGAGGGATTGAGTTATCTCAAACAGAATTGCTGACTTTCTGCAGACATGATAAGAAAACTATTTGTTTTGTCACTTTTATTATTATAAAGTAATTCTTAACAAAGCATTATTTACTTGTGGGAGTTTTTTGTGTATGTGTTTTGATTTTTGTTTTGCTCTTTGGATACTTTGCTATCCATTTTGCCTGAGTGAACCTAAAGGATTTTATTGTTTTAAAAGAATGTTTCATTATAATCTTCATCATATGAAAGATTATTGCACAGTTATATCTTGTGATTTCAGATTTTCACAAGATTTTCAGAATTCCTGCTTTTCTGGGTTTGGAACAAGAAAATCCAAAAAAGGACACATATTTGTCTTTCCTTAGAACAGTAGTAAAGGTACTTTGATAGAAGGGATAAATGTTCCAGCTGTACAAACTAGGAACATAAGGAGGATTAGTCTGATTACTGATAGTCTACTAATCTACTCTACAGAAGCTTTTTTTTTTCAAACTGGGCAATCTTTTGAAACTTTTTATCAATAAAGTAAAATCATCATCTCTACCAAGCTCATAACACTGATTAATAATAAAATAAAGAAGGAAACATACTATAAATTAGACTTTTCAAACCACAATGCTTTCTGAAAGTATAGGTATCCATTTCCAAACTTTCTACATGGCCATAGGTCAGATAATAAGAATTAAGACTAACATATCCAAAGGATGTCCAAATTAAGATAGATTTCACGATCTCCATATTGTTTTTAAATCTAAGAAAGCAACTGACGGTAAGATTTGTCTGTAAAAAGAAGCATTGTGAATACTGCTCAATGTACAGCAATGGATAAGTTAGTCTGGTAAGATTAACAAACTAAAATGACACAGATGAATTTAAAAGGAAAAATAAACTGTAATTTTAAAAATGAGTTTTTGGAGATAAATTAACAAAAAGAAAGAAACGTCCTTAACACACATTTAATGCATACCTTCCTTGAATTCTGGGGCAAGATTACTCCATCATCCCAGATCCTGGCAGAAGAGTAAAAAGCATTACTTTCCTTTTGCAGCCTGGAAATATAAGAATTTTTGAAAGAGATACATAGTTATATCTTCAGGTTCATATAAATAAAGGTTCTGTATGGAATTATTATGTGCTTAATGAACAAATGACAACATACAGGGTTTTTTTCAAGAATGAGAAGCAAAGATTGATCTTAAGATATGTGCAAAACCCGCTGTTGTGGAAATGTATCGTTCTGGAGAATTTTGAAATATTCTATTTCTCTTCTACAGCACATTGATTCTGGTAACATATGGTGGTTTTTGAAAGTTAACTTTACGAGTTAAAAACAGTCTGTGCTATTTTAGAATATATAGACCGAACCAGATCTGTTTCTGTCTAGGTCACCATGAAATGACAAATCCACCATAAACAGTTATTTTGCACCGAGTTCTTTGGGTCATCAGTTCCTCAATCCATAAATGCTCTCCAAAATACAACTAAAAATGTGTCCTTCACTGCCGAAATCTGTCCATCTGTAATATAGTCACTTTGCCAAAGCATTTTCGGCACAAAAGATGCAGTAAAGACAGTTCAAATGATTAAAGTTTAGAAGTTTCACATTAAAATGCAAATAGAAATGTAGCATTAATAAATTTGTAATGGCAATGCTTTAATGTTTTAATACACTTACTTTTCTTTTAATACTTTTAAGTCTATTTCTGGTTCTGAATTGTTATTGTTCCATAGCTGTTTGAATGTGAAACTACGTCTTGAATCCACAAGAGCAATTCTTGCATTCGGCCAAAGAAACAGAAAGTTTGGATCAAACGATCTTCCACACTGAAAAGGTTAATAATATAAAAGCAATGAATTCAGAACAAAGCTCATTTTAAGTTAGCTGAACAAACTGATGACTTATGGATAACAAAGTCACAGAAAGACTGGGAAACATAATGGCAGCACTTGGCTCAAATATTAAGTAGGATCAGGGTTGGCAGTACATGGATGGAAGATATCCAAGAATAGCAAGGATGCAAGACCTATTGGTAAATCAAAAACATTCTGAAAGAAGGAAATGGCAAACCACTTCCATATTACTGCTTAAGGATATTAAATGGATACATCCATTTCATCACCATCTTAATTTCAGAAATGTAATTTTTATCTTAATAATTGCATGAAAATACTTAACAGGTTCTACATTACAGACCTAAAATGACTGCAAAAACTATAGCATTAATTAATTGTATATTTTATGAAAAAGTATCATGAAGCTCTTAAAAAAAAAGGAGAGAGCTCATGTCAAATCTCACTTTTGTTTCTAAGTTATTAACTGTTGCAAAGCTACTGAAAACCAACATATCAGTTATTTTACATTATTTTTATTGTTTGATAGAGACTATTCGTTAATTTAGTAAAAAGTGCTGTGCTGTGACTGTTTGGAATTGGTGATTAGGACAGGCAAGCTGATTCTCACACATAATATCCTGACAACCTAAAATATCATCAGGTCTGAAGAATACTTTTAATCAAAGGACTTCTAACCAAAGGGCAAAAACCTCAGATCAGCACCCCTCCCCCCCCCCAAAAAAACAGGATGTTCAGCATCTTACCATAGCATAACTTTCACTTCCTAAACAGCCACCAATCACAAATGTTATCTTTGGTACAGAGGCACAGGCAACTGCAGCCATCATGGAGGCCTGTGCCTTTAACCTGTTAGCTTGATCTTCTGCCTAATTGAAAATGCAAACAATTGAGAGTTATTTTATTTTTACACAGGGAGGTTCTATTTATTCCTTTTAATTATAAGTTCACTTGATTACACTGCTCAATTAGTTCTGATTTGGAATAGACTAATAAGTTGCAAACAAATAAAAATAAAATGCCAGAAAATGTCTCTCTCCTACCATCCTGTTAATATTTCCCATTAATATCTAATCATTCATCAGTTTATTTGTTTCTAGCATGCATACATCTACATGCACAAATACAAGAAATAAAAAGGTATGACTTTTCAAAACAAATCCAAGCCATATTCCTGGTGAATAATCACTAGAGATAAATATATAATTTCTTATGTTTCCAGCTTGGCACTACAATTTTCATCTTAGAAACATAAATTGTGTTTACTATTCATGCATCCTTCTTTTTCTATAAAGTGCTGTTAAATCAATGGAAGGGAATGTCGAAGGTGCTTTTTCTAGAGCCAACTGGACTTTCTGATTTTTCTTTGAAGACCTTTTGCTTCTCATCCAAGAAGCTTCTTCAACTCATTCTTTGATGAGAAGTGAAACGTCTTCAAAGTAAAAACCAGAAAGTCCAGTTACTTCCTGAATAAGCACCTTTGGCCCAACCATGACCTGGATGACTGAGAATCTTCATAGACAATGGAATGGAAAAAAAGTGAGCACCCAGGCTAAACATGGACAAAGCATTGCAAGATCAGTTGAGAAAAAGAATAAGATCACTGATGTTGGTTTCTTGGGTCATGGGAAAGAATATCCCTTGTTATTTATATATGCATGGTTATGTAAAAGAAACTTACCGTGATCAAGTGACTGAGATGCATACAAACGAAATAAATAGTTATTTTAATAGAAAATCCAGCAGTAACGAATTAGAGCTCCACAGGAGAGACATGATATAGTACCTCAGGATAATTAAATGTGAAGATCCTTCTGTTGTTCCCTTCATTTCTCTTAGAAATTACAACTATCAAAAGTGACAACCAGTTTGCTAAAAGTTATAAAGAAATGTATTGATTTAACACTAGTTACAAACCACTTGTCTCTCCTAGCCAAATAACATCCTGTCAAATATTTCACAATAATATCTCATCATTCCTCAGTTCGTCAAGTAAAAATAGCCTAGGTTTTCGTTTTCAGATTTAGATTTTGAGAGAAATGCCAACATACAAAGAATTCCTGCCTGTTGCAATTATATATAGCTATACTAAGAGAAAAAATAGAAACTGAACATGGTCTTGAAAATAAATCCATAACATCCACCTTAACTAGGTGCACCTAGGTGTACCTAATTAGGCAGTACCCAATTGACCTTAACTGATTTATACATGTAAAGAAAGATTGGCCTGGTTATTACTAGGATGGTGAAAGATATGCTAGAGCTGTAGGACAAATTAGAAGAAGAAAAAAACATTCTCAAAGGCAGTGGAAAAACCATTTCCATACTGCTCCCAAGAAATCCATAGGGACACATGTGTGAAATCACTGTGAGAAGCTAAGCTTTACCTTTTTTATAGTCTTCTTGAAGGAAAACTGATCAGTATTGAGCCAAAGTTTGCTTGGAACTTAGTTTAAAAGTCCACTATCCTAGGTCTCTCTCTCTTACTCCTACTTGCCATAATAGATAATAACTTTTTCTCAACTACTTGGGGCAGTGGAGATCTAGAATGGTTGTTGAGATTGTTGCTCTTCACTATCAAGACTCTGATCTTTTGAACTAATAAAGCTTCCACATTAGAGCCATCTGAATGCATTCTATATTAGTTACTTACCTGTATGGGATTGGTTGCCTCTGCAGTACATGGAACAGTATTCATGAGAAACAGAATAGGAATGTTTCTTTGGCTACAAAGCTGTATGAAGTGGCAACCTTTCAGAGAAGCATTGTGTGTCAGCTCACCATTGTTAGCCACTATTCCAATTAGTTCACTAAAAAAAAACCATAAAATACAGTCTGTACTGTAAGGGCACTGACCATCCTGAAGTCAGAACAGCAAATGTTCTCTAAACATTTAATAAAATTACCTTTTAACAATCATTTTAAAAAGCCATTTAAAGAAAATGTTATACATTTCTTTCATTTCACATCAACCCTACTTTTATTTTTTATTTTTTAAAAAAAAAAACCTTTTGTGGAGCTAAGCCAAAGGACCTTGTAATTTTTAAAAGCTAGACCTGCATTTATTTCAATGTTATAGAATTAAGCAAAATATAACAAGGAAAGGCAGCTGAAACATTAGAAAAGGCAATGACATGAAATACTAAAGGGGAAAAAACTAGATTTTTGAAAAATCCCTCAATGTGTTTTAAGATAAGACTATTTCTTGGAAGAAATTATGACGTACAAGCAATTAAAATTGTTAAATATTAAAGCAATAACATAACATGTACATTTTAATATATCCTTTAATAAAAATATAATTGTAAAATAAGGTTGAAAAATATTATTTAGATTTATTGGCTAAAAGGTCTGAATAATTTAACAATTAACTAATTTAACTGTTTGCAAAAATATTGTAAAAAAAACTTCTGAAAATATGTCTGATCTGCCCACAAATTAGTTTGAGGGCTAACAATGCAGTGGGCTCAGGAGTGGGTTCCTCCCGGTTCGCACCGGTTTGCACGA